TGCTACCCCTAAGTTGCCAGCCCTACATTGCATCTCTAGCTGGTTTCTGTCTAGAAGTCCAGCAGCCGACTGAAGGAACATAACTTCCTAAATGGATTGTACAGATTGAGATTCTCTTCCAAAATTATCAGGGCATTTCCAGTACAGGAAAGAAGTTTATTTAGGACAAACCAGAGATATTCAGATATGGGCAGAACTATGTAATAATGGAGCTTTACTTGAAGATACAGAATTCATAAGCCAATTCCTAGTGAACAAACGTATTCCATTTGAATAGGAAATAAAAACATGTTCTATTGGAATCACTAGATATATGAATAACAGCACTTACTAATACTGTTAAAAACATAGCTGCTGCTTTAACATTAGTAAGATTCAGTGGTTCAATATGTACCTAAATAGCCCAATGAAATCAATATACCATCAAAGGAAAAGTCCATCTGTTCCAAAACTGAGCTAATTATAGCAAACATAATTAGACAAATTTTGTGATAGTGTATCTGAGTATGTACATAGTCCTCATTAGCGACTGGCTTGCTTAGTGACCATTCAATTACGATAATGATGAAAAAGTAACTTTACAACCAATCCTTGCATTTATGACCTTTGCAGGTCTGTAAAGCAAAGCTGAAGCAAAATCATAAGCACAGTTGTGGTTTCACTAAGCAGCCACTTTGCTTAATGACCAAGTTACAGGTCCCAATTGTAGTTGCTAAACTAGAACTACCTGTAATTGGATAATTGTCTAAGCTTACTAAATTAAACTTGTTAGGAGAATGCTGCCAACTTTTGCAATACTGATAACTCCCATTCAAATAATATCCTATTTTGTCACCAGAATCATCCATTGTATCCTCCATCTGATTTCGTATTCTGATATGACATGCAAGGTTATTACAGTTAGCCATCCACAATCACAATGCTTAGAACAAGAACTGGTCAAGTTGCAGAAGACATTATAAGCATTCAGCAGTCATTTTTAGATTAAGATCAGTTCCAGAAGTTATTTCAGCCTCCAGCTTGCTGGTGTATATGCTCATGACATGCCATCCCTCCAGAAACCACAAAGTCCTACAGTAGAGCTGTCCAGGGACTTGAATCATTTTTACAAAATAACTTGTAGAGTTAGAGCCAATGCAGTGTAGTGATGCTTAGAAGTATAGGTCTAGCAGTGAGGAGACTCAGGCTTAAGCTTGTCAACCACTGAAAATCATTGGATGACTTTGAATGAGTCACACTCTTAGCTCAGCCTTTTTTTTTCCCGTGCCATCAGTCAGTGTTGACTCCTGGTGACTGCCTGGACTAGTCCCTGCAGTTTTCATAGCAAGATTTCATTAATAGTTTGCCATTGCCTTCTTCTTAGGGCTGGGAGAGAGTGACTGGCCCAAGGTCAGCCAGCTGGCTTCATGCCTAAGGCAGGACTAGAACTTACAGTCTCCTAGTTTTTAGCCTGATGCCGTAACCACCACACCAAACTGGCTCTCTCAGCTCAGTCTACCTCACATAAAAACTAATTAATCTATTGGTACTGACTGTTAAAATTATGGAAGTGAAGCTAAAATTGGATTTGTTAATTGCTTGGAATAACTGGAAATCCCTTAAGTCAGAAATGGGAACTGATGTAAACCAAACGGAACATATTACTATTTTTGGTAGCAATCCCCAACTTAATGTTTTGACTGTTTTTGAAGAAATTGAGAAAAATACCCAGATATTTCACAATGAACCTGAGGTTGGTTCCCATCTATATTTCCCAGTAGTATATAGAAAGGTAAAAATTATTTGGCTGAAAAATTAACACCAAGTTCTGAAAAACTCTACAAGACAAATTCAGTCAAATTTGCTTCACTACTACACACAAGACACACACCATTTAAAATGTATTTCTGATTATGTCCTGTTTATTTTTCTTGTTCATTTTGTATCAAGCCTGGTACCTATATTTTCATTTTTCGAATTAAAAAATAAATGGCACTTATCTTATTCTAGTGCTGGCCAGTGAATTATGATAATATGAACAAATGCATTAATTAGCCAAAGGATGGTCACAATGTTCTTCGGTAAAAAAGTTATTTATAGGACCAGCTATATAGGATATTTCTGAAACTATTGAAGCTTTATCTTCATAAATAATCTTCATCTGAATGCTAATAATGTATTTAATATGCTGCATCTTCATCTAAAATAAAGCAAGAATGTTCCTCAAATATCAGCAAGTCTATTAGCTCTCTTATGGATCTGTAATTCTTAAATTCAAAATCGTGCAGTTGCTGGTTTGAAATAACGGATTTCTGGTGAGGGAGAGACTACTGAGTATCTCAGGCCCTTTTTAAGACTCTCAGGGCCTTTTTAAAAACACAAAATAAGCAGTATTTTGTTTTTAGGCTGCTTGGTTCTCCACAATAAGCCACTTGATAACTAGTACTGTAAACAAGTTTTAGTTTTCAGTCTCAGCATTCCATAAGCTAGGGCCAAAACACCATATGCAATCAATAATGTTGAATGAGATTTTTGTGAAAGGTCCATATCAAGTTACTAAAAATAAATTCAAGGCTGTAGTAACCATATGGTTTCATGCATAATCACAACTGTACATGTATTTTACACAGAAATAGCCATGCAGCAAAATGAAATAACTGTTTCAAATAGCACCACAGGCTTGAAGACCTACAGTTCTTGCTCAATATTCAGACATAGCTGCCATGATAAAAATAGCTGAAATATATATGTATATATACTTTGTATACATACAAAATGAACAGCGTCTATGCCCATACTGTATCATTAGCCACCTAAATCTCCAGGAAAATAACTTCCATGAGACTGTGTATCCAGCCGCATGCTTCATGCTATAAAGCACAACATATATCCAAGTCGTAATGTATCTAAAATAAGTATATTTTAACATCATTATTATTGAATGCTAGGCAGAAATTGCTTAACTTTAATCAAATCTGTCTGGTAAAATCTATATGGATAAGCTTAATATACCTAATTTTGGAATACTGTAATACAGGCAGTTCTCGATTCAGAACACCCAGTTTAAGGATGACTCATAGTTAAGAACGGCGCCTATTGTAGCAAAATTCGAGTTAAATACACAATTATTCAAGTTAAATACACAATGGTTTGAGTTCATTACACAGTACTACTTATACAGTATTATACAATAGTGTTCCGGCTTACATACAAATTTGACTTAAGGACAGACCTTTGGAATGGAACTGTTCTTAAACTGGGGATTACCTGTATAGCCATGTACATTAACAAGATTAATATACTACTTTTACATTAATGCAATATCTCATGGCAAACTATGTATTATATGGGAAATCATAGCAAGTCCTGAATCACTGTACATTTTAGTTTCCAAATGAAATGGCTCTGTTGAGCTGGCATAGTAAAAATGAAGAAACAAAAACTTGTATATCTTAAAAGATTAACAAATTTATTTCACAAAAGCTGTTGACCAAGTCCATTTTATTACATGGCTGAAACAAATCCTGTGTGAGAGTTCATAAATAGTAAAGACACATCTTTACTATTAAAAAGTATGCTTATTACTCATATTTTCTTCCAGTAGTGCTTCCAAACACCAAACTGGAGATCAGCTGACTTTCATTGGAATTCAGGTGCCAGAAAAGGCTTGTTTCATCAGGTATTTTTGTGCAGGTCACTTGAATTCTCCACGGGTAAAAGAGATAGTGAGCTATGACACACAGTTATCATAAAGCAGTTTTTCTCAACCCTGGGAACTTTAAGATGTGCGGACTTCAACTCCACACATTCTGAAATTCTGAAAGTTGAAGTCCATACATCTTAAAGTTCCCACGGTTGATAAACACTGCCTTAAAGATTAATGGCTAGAACTGCATGTCACAGATTGTTCCCCAACTAATGTTCCATTTCCAGCAGTGATAAGAGCTAGAACCAGGAAAAGTGTAGTCATTAAGTTTTGGGACTGGGACCAGGTTTAAATCCTCATTTGACCATAGCTCACTGGATGACTTCAGACCAGTCACACACTTTAAGCCCAATTCACTTCATATGGGTTGCTGTTCTGAGAATAAAACAAGGCGAGACCGACCTTAATGTGAGCCATCTTGGGCTCCTAGATGAAAGGTGCTGCAACATAATAACAAGAACATAAACCAAAACCCTAATGGTATGAGCCAAGGAAACCCATATGCAGGGTTAGAGTAAATTATACACAAAAATGCACAAATTACAATCTGAAGGATACTATTTCAGCAAAGAGAATGACAATATCAGGACATGAGATTGGTGCTATACAGCTAGTAAGTTCAGGAAAAAAGACTACTACAAAGTGTACTGTCGAAGG